GATGTATGAATTTAAATTTCCCAATGTACAAATTTAAATATTTCAATGTACAAATTTGGTGTCAAAAGGGATAGATATAAAAAATAAAAAATATTTAATTAAAAATTATCATACAAAAAATGTATAAAAATGCATTTATTCAATAAACATCTTTTAAATTTTTGAAATGGAGTTGATTTTCTAAACAAAAAATTAAATAATTTCAGGACTTACCAAACAATTTCAAAAGATTTTATTTTATAGAGAGGTTGTCTACTTCTGATTTAATACTGTTATACTAAAAATTTAAGAAGCTAAGTATGATAATATTGCAAAGCAATAATGCCTTTTATTTTTATATCCCAATCTCAATAGTATTTCTGAAAATTCTTTCTCTATCTATTTTTAAAAAAGCAGTCTGAGGCTACTGATATTAGCATCTTGAAGGATAGAAGTGTCAAATGTAATGCTAGCAACTTTTGTAGCTAGTAGTAAACTTTGAAGTAGAAAAGAAAAACTTTCTTCAAAAAGTTGTGGAGATCAAAAAAGCCAATATGCTAAGAGCAATTTTTCATCATATTCTCTAATTGCTTTAGCAGAACTCATTGTTTAATTTTTTCTATCTAGTCTGAGCATTACTGTTGTCAATGTTTTAAAAGATAAAAGTATCAAAAAATTTTTTTAATAGACATATAAACTCCTAATTAATAATAAAAAAGCAGCATCTAAACTTTGGAGGACAATTTTGATTTGCTTCCATCTAGAGAAGAAGTAATACTAGTGACTTTGTAACTAGTAGTAAAACTTTGAAGTAGAAGACAACCTTTCTTCAAAGTTGTAAAGAGCAAAAAGCCAATATGCTAAGAGCAATTTTTTATTATATTTTCTAATTGCTTTAACAAAACTTGTTGTTCAATTTTTCCTATCTAGTCTGAGGGTTGCTGTTGTTAATGTTTTAAAGGATAGAAGTATTAAAAAATTTTTTAATAAATATACAAAGTCCTAATTGATAATGAAGAAGCAGTATTTCTAACTTTTTATCCAGAGAAGAATATAATACTAGTGACTTTGTAGTTAGTGGTAAAACTTTGAAGTAAAAAACAGACTTCAAAAAGTTGTAGAAAGCAAAAAAGCAAATATGCTAAAAGCAATTTTCTATTATATTCCCTAATTGCTTTAGCAAATATAATGTCTTGGAGAATAGAATTGTCAAATGCAATACTAGCGACTTTTGTAGCTAGTAGTAAAAATTTTGAAGTAGAAGACTGGCTTCAAAAAGTTGTGGAGAGTAAAAAAGCCAATACACTAAGAGCAATTTTCCCTAATTACTTTAGTAGACACAACGTCTTGGAGGATAGAAGTATTGAATATAATACTAGCAACTTTTGTACTAGTAGTAAAAACTTTGAAGTAAAAGACCACTTCAAAAAGTTGTGAAAGTGAAAAAGCAAATGTGCTAAGAGCAATTTTCTATCAAATTTCTTAATTGCTTTAGCAGACAAATTAATTAACACATTGTTTAATTTTCTCTGTCTAGTTTGAGAGTTACTGATATCAATTTTTTGAGAATAGAAGTATTGTATATAATACTAGCAACTTTTTTAGCTAGTAGTAAAAATATTGAAGCAGAAGACTAACTTTCTTTAAAAAGCTGTAAAGTACAAAAAAGCTAGTATGCTAAAAGCAGCCAAAATTTTGAAAAACAAACATGGATTCAAATACAATTTTTTACCATATTCTTTGCAGTTATCAAAGTATTATGCTTCAGCCTGAAGAATGAGTTTAATAAATTAGTAATAAAATTTTTAATTTACTTGCCTCTACGAATTCCAATTGTGATTTGGCTTTTAAGGCCAAATATATACTAGTCTTCAATACTGTTGGGAACCCTAACAGTATTGTTAATTTACCTGTAATATGGATCACTTCTGAATCTTTATTTGACCTGCGTATAAACCAGAAGTAATCATAGATTACAAGTATGGAGTATATGAGAGCATTTTAAGCATGTATCCATAAACTTGCTTTATTACAGTTTTTTTTTTCCTGCTCTCTGAAAAAGTTTGTTTATCTAGATCTTTGAGAATATGAATTTTCTTGATTTTGGCTACTAGAATCAATCCCTCCTTGTAGTAGCAGGTAAAGTTAAGATCTTCAGTGTAAATAACTGGTCTAAAATTTATAATTACTATCTATAACAATGTTTAGTACCAAATTGATATTAATATTAATTGCAGTGCATACTGACTTCTCCTTATGAAACAGATGTTTATAATAAAATTCAAGAACCTGGAACCATTTTGCTTGGTCAAAGGTGTATCTATTAACCTTTTTAAAAAATCCTTTCCAAGTCAATACTTCTTTTGGAGCTCTCATATTCACAAAAGTAGTTAACTTTGACACTAAAGCATCTGGAAAATATCTGATTAAATGTGGAATGCATAATAATGCTTCTTTCTGGCTTACAACTTAAAAGTGTAAGTATTAAAAAAAAAATTGCAAGTTATAAAAATTGCTTATGTTTAGTGTCTTTACTCATATTCAAAACCAGCCACCCTTCTTTTTTTATTGACAACAGCTTTATTATCATCTTTAGCTTTTTTAATCTCATTTTTATCTCCAGATTCTTTATTCCCTTCTTCATCATCTTCATCATCTTTAGCTTTGTCATCCTCTTTGGCTTTGTCATCATCTCTTTTTCATTTAACTCCAGTGGATACTGAAGTCTCACCAATCTTCATTAAAATAAAATTGGTTTTAAAATTATAAAAAACAAAACTTTTTTTCAAAATTAATAAACTAAAAAGCTTTGATCAAATGCTATAACACTATTATAGTGTTCAAAAATAAGCCAGCTTATCACAGCTTACTGCAGCTTTTCGCATGATAAATTTGAATTTATTATATAATAAGCCATAGTAAGCTGCAGCAAGCCATAATAAGCCAGCTTATCTTTGAACACTATACTATTATATTAATTAATCTGAAATAATTTTTAAAAGTGTAAGCTATAATAGAATTTTTTAAATCAGATCTGCAAAAATATTAAAATAGTAAAATTCTGTATAAATTTACAAATTTTTTTTAATTGCTATCAACTTGAAGTTTTGCACAAATCTGATATATAAATTATTAAAAATCTATATGGTTATGAGACAAAAAATTACTCTGATGGTAAGTTAAAAATTTTCTGGATCTTTTGCTAATTAATATTCCTTATTAATAAGTAAATAGTTGTCTGCCAAACTAAACTTGATTCTATTTGTAAGAAAATTTTAATTCAATATCTTGTCTTATTGCTTAAGGGTTCCTGAATAGTACTTTTAAGTCACACAAGAGTGTGATGATTATGGTCTATAGCACTTATAGTTTTGTAAAATGTGCTATGCCTTTTTTTTCTATAGTATACCCAAGTATCCAAGCATCATAACCCTTGGGTAATTACTCATTAGAAGGTGTAACTTCAAAGTAACTAGTAAGTAGGTTTCTCTATTTACTAAAGAGGGTTTGTAGAGTGCTTTCTAAAAAAGTAGTTACATGTTAGAAATTATAGAAGTTATATTAAATTTCTTAATAAAACTTTATATAAAAAATTTAGGTAAATTATTTATTAATATACAAGATTTCTTTGTTGAAGCCTTACAAGATTTTTTTGTTAAAGCCTGCATTTTAGAAAAACTTTTTTATAAAAATTTTTTAATACTACCAAATTTCTAAAATTTCTAAAATTTTAATCTTAGAAAAAAATTTGACATGTAAAATAGTTCAAATATATGATCTTATATATAGTAATATGCATTGTATAAATGTGTCAATAAAAGTAATATTGAGCTATAAATAGCAGTGTTGGCAATTTTTACCGGCCAAACTATTTAGTTGGCTGTTGGCTGATATTTGCCTAATAGCCAAAAAAATGGCCAAATTTTTGCAGCCAAAATTGATTGGCAATTGGCAACGGGCAAATAAAAATCTTGGCCCAAATGGCCGATTTGGCTGTGGCCAACTAGCCAATTAGCCAAAAAATGTATCACATTTATATTTACATAAAAACTATAAAATAAGTATTTCGATAATGTTATAATCTTCTACAGGTAATTGTTTTTTGTATAGTTTAATTAAATTAGTATACTGTATTGAATTAATTATATGTACGTACGTACGATTTTATGATTTTTCTATTTTTGGTGCAATTAAGCATCTAACCAAATTAGTATCGCGATTGTTAAAGCCCACTGTGTGAAAGTAATATGCGATAGCATGGTGCCTCTTATATACTTTTTCATATTAATCAAAGTATTATGCTCATTAAAAGCTTCAAATAGCGATTGGAACTTACATTGTGAATTCGCTTACCCAAACTAACTGTTGCACTAAATGGCTACAAAGCCTTATCGCACAAATCAAAAACCAGAATTTACAGATAATAAATAAAAGTTAAAAAAAAATAATAATGACAAAGCATCTTATTTCTTTTTTTTTTCGCCCTAGCAATTCACATGCAAAACATAATCTTCCTGTATCATTTTACCATTGTGATTTTTATCGCCCAAAAAAACTTTTTGAAAAATGTATTCTTAATATTTAATTCATAGAAATTTAACTTCAAAAAATTTATGTTATGTTGATACTATATCTAAAAGTACTTAAATTCAAGCTCAATTACTTCAAAATTGTAAAGAAAATGTATACTTATCATTATAATCAATCTAATTGCAATTTTTTTATTTTATTGACAAGCTATCAAACCGGTAAGCAAAAGAGAATGATTACAAATTTAATACAATATATATATATTTAAAACCTGTTATAAATTAAGCTTTGTACATTAGCATGTTTAAACAAGCTAACTTAAAATTTTATTAGAGCTTCTAATTACTGTATTCAATATCTAAAAGAACAAGTCTTAAAAAACTTGTTTGAAAATTATATTATAATTAGTTAATTATTACGTATATAAAGATGATATAAATTTCAAATAAAAACATTTACTAATTATTCCTGACAATTATTTTGTCTTAACTATGTCTAAAAAAAAAGCTTACCAATTTACCGGCTATATTGAAGTTCTTGATGAAAAAGCCAATGAGTGGCGAAATTATACAATTTGTCGTACTTGCCGTGATGCTATTGGTAGGCTGACTGCCTTGCTTCAAAAGTTTCCAAATAAAAGTGAACGAGTAAAAAATCACTTAAAAAAGTGTAAGTACTTTATTGATGCACAAGGTGGTAGGGAAGTCGCATTAAAAATATTGGGCATCGGATTAGAAGAAATGGAAAAGCAGGATTCAAGATCTTATACGGGTATATACAGTATAAATTATTTAATGACAATTTTATAATTTTTTTTAAAAAAAAATTTTCTTTTATAAAGCGGGGCCACTAGATAAATATGCTGTTCAATCTTTAACAAAAAATGACAAAAAAAAATTAGAAACACTTTTACTTCATATAACAGTTTCCACGGGAATATTATTACAATGGGTTCAAAATAAAGAAGTTTGTGAATTATTTCACTTTTTGAATCCTAGATTTGAAATTACCTGGACGTCGAGCACTAGGTGGAAGAATCTTAAATTATGAAATAGAAGAGCTTGAAATTAATATAGAAACAAAGCTTAAAAATGATTTCATTGGTCCAACACTTGCTTTTGATAGTTGGACTAACGTTATCAATCAAAATATTATGGGTTCAGTTTTTATTACGCCTAAAGGAGAGGTACTAGTTTGGAAAGGTATAGATATAAGTAGTAAATGGAAAAGATGGAAAGAAGTTGTAGAAAAAATTGAAACAATGTTTAATGAAATCAATCAAATGGGTGTAAAGTTAATCGCAGTTGTTTGTGATAGTGCATCCTCTTATGCTGCGGCAAGTTATAATAAAATTATTAATACTAATTATATCTTATATGATATATTGTATTTTAAACAATTTTTTAAAAAATTAACTTACAGACGTCACCTTTGTTTAAAATATATTGATATTTCTTTTTTACCTTGTTATGCTCATCAAATGAATTTATTTGTGGGCGAAATATTTAAAGAATCTGATGAATTTTGTCAAGCGACAGTTAATGCAATTAAAGTGGCAAGTTATTTTCATTCGGCACAGCATAAATATTTCATTGGTCAATTGAGAGACCTACAAAAAGAATTTTATAAAAAATATGTCTCATTAGCGATTGGTAACAATACAAAATGGAACAGTTATCTTGAATGTTTTCGCTCTTTACTAAAATCAAAATCAGCGCTAAGAGTATATAAAATATACTTTATATTTATCTAATTTTGATTATATTTAATATTTATAATTTTTTATTTATTTTATTAGACGCTTGCCTCTAAATTTGATCCTTTTGAACCGTTAGATAACAAGTTGTTATATCTTCCCAAAGATCTTGTATTAATTCTTTTAAATAAAACTTGGTGGCAAACACTGCAGAAACTTGTCAATATTTTAACACCTTATGATATTACAAATTATCTTCTTCAGAAAGATAAAGCTTGCTTGCATAAAGTTTTGCACGGGTTTGGTTATTTTGTAAAATTTTGGAAAGATTATGAAAATCGTGAACTTGGACAACAAATATTATCTTAATTAGAGTTAAGATGGAAGGATTGGGAGCAACCACTTCTTCTTCTGTCTTGGCTTCTTCATTCAGATTATCAAATGACTAAATTTAAGCCTAATATAACTAATCTTAACCATGTATATCTTAGTAAATAGCTTATTTATTATTATGAAGCTTGGTCACATAAAAAATCTTGCTCAATTTTACATGAATATGAAGATTTTCGAAAAGCCATATATCCTTTTAATAAACTATCAATCGATTATTTTGGAAAAGATATTTTTAAATTTTGGTCTTGGGTTGCTCCAATCGCAAAAGAACTTGCTTTTGTAGTACAAAGGATATTTGGAATCTGCATAAACGCTGCTTCAGTAGAACAGTTATAGTCATGTATGGGTTTTATTCACACCAGTAGACGGTGCCGATTGCAAGTAAGTATATTGTTATAATTTACAAAATAATTTGATTTAATTTCTAAAATTTTACAATACAGTTTCCGAAGGTATTAAAAATGAGCAAACTTTGAGCTTCGATCAACTACCAACATCAACTAGATAATACAAGTTCTAATGAATTGTATGATTCAAATGATGAGTTTGAAGATACAACTCCTTCTAATAATGAAGTGCAAATATTTAAAGAAAATTTAAATAATGAATTGGAAGAATTAGAGGATGAAATCAATGTGAATAAGTGCGTTACAAATTTTAATAGTTTTATTAATGAGTGGGAAAGTCTATTGAATCAAGAAAATGAAGCACGAGAGGATGAAAGTATTGATTTTAATTATAATATGGATATGGATATGGATGATTATTTATATACTCAAACACATCCCGCAATGAATATGGAAGCGAAGTAGGAGATTTGTGAAATTTTTGTTGATAATTTGGGTGCACCTTTTAATGGTGAATAAACATTTTATATGTAATACATGTTTAGAGTTTAACTTCTAAATAAATATAAATTTAGCTGATATATAGTTACA